TGCGGAGAAACTGGCTCACTTCTTCACCTACTCTGGACATGTAAGTCCCTCAAATCCTACTGGAACAAAGTTTTCCAAATAATCTCCTCAATTGCGGGAACGCCAGTAACCCCAAACCCTGCCTTAGCTCTCCTCCATATCGGAATAGATAAATTCCCTACGAACTCAAGCACCATTATCATACACATTTTAGCAGCCGCAAAGACTAACATTACCAAACTATGGCGATCCATCACCACTCCCCTTCTGTCCCGCCTCATAGCTGACCTCAATCTCCAATGTGAGATGGAAAGAACAGCCCTTCACAATTCTTCCTACAACAAATTTACAGTCCAATGGTCTCGATGGTTAAACAATCCTAATTGTTCAATAAATTGATTGCTATAATATACTATTTCAATGTACGTTATCCCTGCTGCATTGGTGCCTCCCTTCCTCCCCTTTTCCCTCTACCCCATGTTCCTCCCCTACTTACATCTTACTTGTTTCCCAACATGGTTCACAAGACACCGAGCATACCTCTCATGTAAATATGATTAAAACCTATAGCTTCCCCAGTCAAAATGGTGGGGATCCTCCATCCTTATTTGCCATTTCCATGTACTACTCCTCTCAAATGTGAACCATTCCATGTTGTTGTTTGTATATACTTTTGATATGTTAAAACTTTTCAATAAAAATTATTTGAATATAAAGCATTTTTTTTACATTTTTAAAATCGACATCCTCACGGAGCGGAAGAACCGCTCTGCTCCGTGAGGACGTCGAAGATGAAGAGCTTAGGGCGGTGCCTTTGGATATGACGTTCAGAACTCTCCTGGTCTGTTTGCACGCTGCATGTGCATGTTTAGCTGGGTCTGAGTGGCTTGTATTCATTACACACGCTGTCTATACTGGTGTCAGTCTGGACACCTTGCTTGTAAGTGCATTTCTTCATTAAAGTTTGATGTTTTTTAAAACATACTGCACCATGATTGTTCACTTTTTTCTTTCGAGTGACGGTCTGATCATCTCTCAGCTTGGATACTAAATCACCTTTGGAGTGGATTTTCAGCTTTGCAGCACATCATCTGTTGGAGTTCATCCCTCATTTCTTCAGTGTTGCTGTCACCATATTATTCATTGCTCCCAGAGTAACAAGTACTGTATGCTGGTTCTTCAATAACCAGCATATTACTCTGGTGAGTTCTATTTAACCATTTTTGGTGGTGGATTCACTTGGTGATTAATTATTTTGGACATTATTGATTATTTGAACTTTTGGACTTTTTCGTTTTTGCTGGATTTTATTTTGATTTAAAATATTGTTTCTTATCGTTTTGTTACATTTTTTGTTACACTTTTGTATGTATTTAAGCGCAACCTATTTTTTTGAAGTTTTGTATATCCTATAAGTTTATAGGCTAGGTTCTGCAGCTTATTGTTGTCTTATACAATTTCTGTGGCGCTTGTTCTTTATTTTATTTATATATATATATATATATATATATATATATATATATATATATATATATATATACAGTGAAAGCCAGGTAAACAACCACACTTCTATGGATGATACATTTCAACTATGCATATCTATATCACTTGTATAGTTTCACCTCATGTATACTTTTTAAAACAAAAATGAGAAAACAAAATACATGATGCAGAACTGCAAAATATATTACTAATAAAAACATGCATACATACTAAAGACAATAAATATATTAGAACAAAGTGCTAGCATACAATCCTATCTAGGAAGGAAAAATTCTCAACAGGAAAATATCCAGGGTGCACATAAAGCATCCCAACAATTTCAGCAAGTATCAGTGAAAAGGTTAATATCTCATTCAAAGTTGTCCCATTTAACTTGGTTTTCAAAAGAAAAGTCTATTAAGCCTAACGGGCTAAAAGTTGTACTCTACTTTCACCTCCACCTCATGAATTTAAATAGTGTCCTTAATATTTCCAGTCAGAAAGTGTTTAGGAACATTTTAAAGGTTTTTTTTGGGTGGTAGATTTAACTGCACCCCTCAGGTGTTTTCCTATTCTAACTTTAAGATAAAAAGTAGTACATCCAGCATGCTGAACAGTGCAGGTAAGATACAATACATAACCAAGTGCACAACATACTTGGTGTTACTATTAGCATTATATTACATCTTAAAAAAATGGTAATTTACAATAGACATACATTTCTTACTCACCTTATGGAAATGTCATTTTTAACAATTACTATATCTACATTTAAATGACCCTATAACCATGCTGGTACTTTTTTTTTTTTTAATTGTTGGTACTTCATGTTATAATTAGTGGAAAACATCAAAATGCACAAGCATCTCTCCTGGTTATATAATTTTCTAGCATTTGCTGTCTGTCTCCCCTGTTTAACCTGAAAGTCCTGACAAGCATCTGATCCAGGTAGCCATAAGATCTCAGGCTGGAAAGACATTCAATTTATAGTTTGTTATATGTTTTAGTGTCAGTATAGGTACACTAAGATATGTTTATACCACATAAGAATAAGTATTATGTTTTATATTCTGTAGAAAATCTATTCCCTAGGTTCATTATAGGTTGGTGTATTTTCCCATAATTGTTGCTGTGTTGATCACCTAAAAAAAAATGGAAACCCATTCCTTATTCACTAATTCAGGGGATGAAGCATATCAACACATGCAACCAACCCATGGGGTTGTCCCTTCTTCCCCTTTTGTGGGAAGGCTTGGTGAATTGGTGGATACACACCTGATTATCTGACCTAGGTATCTTTAGGTGGATACAGTGACCCTGTGGTTGCTGCGCTTCTCCCCTTTCCCCTCCTTGTGTGTCCAGCTTCTGGGTCCCGGAAGTAGATGTGTGGTGCTGTGATGTCCTGTGTGTGGATGCATCCAGATACCTGTGCCCCATGTCTGGGGGCATGGCAACCGATGAAGCCATTGCGCGGGTAGTGTCTTTTTCTCTGGCACCATAGTGACATTTTTTCATGCTCTCAACTATGGTGAATTATGGCATATGGTGTGTGCTCCTTGGTAGAGTGCACTGCAGGAGGGTGATGGGGCTCCAAAGTGCTGAGAGGGACAACATGGTGCCTGCACTGATGTTCCAATCGGAACACATTTTGGGGACTGATTGCCGGGTTGGTCTCCACCCAAGAAATGAGGTCATTTGTGTGCCAGGGTCACATGGGGGCTGACTATATAAGCCTTGGGGGAGGTGGACATCAGTCCTTTCCACCAGAGTGGAAGAGTGGCCCCTTACAGGGCCTTGCGGAGACCATCTTTACAGAGGGACAGGTATGGAGTGATTTTTTTTTCTTTTCCCCTGTCCAGAGCTTATATATTTTGTTCAACTCTTATCCCCCTTCTTTAGACACCCCTGATGTCAAGCTGGTGGATGGAGATGGGTAGGTTTTCTATCTACATACCGTAATATGTGGCCATGTTTTAATAGAATAGAATGGTGCTAGGCACATGCAGTTGGGTACAGCTTGGAGAAGAATGGCATAATTATCTCCATTAACTGCCCTGGAATCAGTTTCACATCCCACAAAGAGAGTTGGAGCCTATGCCCAAGCAAAACAAAATCTGGGTCAGTTTCCTCAGACTGCTGCCCCAATTACCTCTATATAATTACACAACAAAAAAATGTATGTATTAATAAATTAATCTATTAAAGTTTAGTACAGAAATCAAACTCAATGTGCTTGATTTACTAAAGTAATAGAGATAGTTTGTATAGTAAAGTAACTGTTACTAAAAATAATAAATAAAGACAAAGACAAAGCTGTGTTTACTTCCATCACGCAATCACATGCTTTGTTTATTTTCAATTTTATAAGAAAAGATTGGCTATTCAAAGTGTTTACAGAAGCACCTTGCTTTCATTTTGCTTTAGTAAATGACCTCTTTAGTGAATCAATGCCTTTTATTTTATTATATTGAAATAACTTCACTTTTTTCAATTAACTTAGCTATCTTACTGACAGGTAAATAGAAACATTTACCAAATGTGCAGTTTGTTAAGAAATAACTTTGTACAGAAACTAAGCCACTGATTTGCTAAGTATTGTTGCTTTAAGCACCAGTTTATTTCCTTGTGTGTCTTACACATTGTTTATAATTTGAGCCTCCAGGCAGATGCCAGATAATATCAAATCTTCAGAGTGAAGAGATAAAGCAAAAACAGCAAAACCTGCATTCATTTTGCAGAAATTAGCCCATGCTATACTGAATAGGAATTGCAATATCATCACGTCTGTTTAGCAAGAAGTGGGTAAGACCAGAACATTTTCCTTCTGATGCAAAAAGTCTTGTACATCTGTTAATTTTCTTATACAGCCTCAGATCCTTTTGTGTCTTCATAATGCTTGGTTAAATGACTGTACTTGCCAATGTTCAGGGCCCAGTATTCAATAAAGAATGCCTGTTAACCTTATGAAAATAGAAATGCGGTATTCACAAATTATGTTAATGCAATGTCAGACTTTGTTAATGTTATTTTCTAAACATAAAGAGCATATGGTATCATCAGAATTTGGCAATTAGGAGATGCAATTCACATGCAAATAAGGAATTACCATAACCACTTGCTTATCCACTTTGATCTGCTATGTTTACAGCTGCCCAACAACATTAGTTTCTTAGTATTAGAAAAATATGCAGTTACAGAAAAATTCAATAATCTAGCACTCTCATTAAGAAAAAAATAATTAGAGTGCTGACAAAATAATGTTGCAGTATAGGGGAACTCTAATTATTTTAAAGCCTTTTTATTTGACTGTAATTGTAAAGTAAATTGGTTTAATATAATCAATATATGTTACTGTATTGAAAACCTTCTTTATGTGTATCGTCTAAAAAATTATATTAGCTCCTCTCTGATGGAAAAATCTGTAATCTATAGTCTGCAGGGGCGGTAGATGGGGGCATGCTGCATGCCCCAGTGGGAGTGCAACACCCCCCTGGGTCAGTACAGCCAGAGTGACCTACCGGCAGGGGTGGACTGACAACTCATGGGGCCCCCGGGCAATAGGGGATCATGGGGCCCCTGTGTCCTTGCCCAAACTCAAAAAAAGCCTATGAAAAAGGTACCAGGGGCATCTCATGGGGCCCCTACTGACTCCGAGCCCTTGGGCAGTGCCCGAGTTTCCAAATGGTCAGTCCGCCCCTGATAGTCTGTTTAATAATTGGTAGCCAAATACCATGTGACTAGGCTGTCTAGGCTGGAAGTAAGAGATTTGTATATTTGTTAACCATTTCAGCCCCGGAAAGGTTTTACCTCCTTCCTGACCAGGGCATTTTTGCGATTTGACGCTGCGCTAGATCAACTGCTACTGTAATTGCACATGCAATGCTGTATCCAAACAAAATTTATATCCATTTTTCACAAAAGTACAGCTTTCTTTTGGTGGTATTTGATCACCACAGTTTTTTTTTTTTATTGTTTGCAATATAAATGAAAAAAAAAAAACAGAAACATTTTGAAAAAAAATATATATTTTCCACTTTCTGTTATAAAAATATATCCAATAAACTAAAATTTTTTTATAATTTTAGACCAAAATTTATTCTGCTACATGTTTTTGTTAAAAAAATCTGAATAAGTGTATCAATTGGTTTGCATGAAAGCTGTAGCATCTACAAGTATGGTATATATAATGGAATTTACACAGCTTCTACTTTCTGACTGCCTATCACATTTCTTGAGGTACTAAAATACCAGGGCAGTACAGCCCCCCCCCCCCCAAAAGACCCCCTTTTTTAAAAGGAATTTAGTGAGAGGTATGTTGAGCCCATGGAAGATTTTATTTTATGTTACAAGTTTAAAAAAAAAGGACAACAAAAAGTTTTCCTTTTTTTACACAAAGTTGTCATATATTGCTCACACATGCCATAGGAATATGTGGAATTACAACACAAAATACATTCTGCTGCTATGAAGATACCACATGCGAGAGACTTTTTGGGAGCCTAGCCATATACAGGCCACAAAAAACAATGACCACCTCAACCCCCCCTCCCAAATGACCCCGTTTTGTAAAGCAGACACCTCAAGGAATTTGATTAGAAGCTTGATGAGTATTTCGAAGATATAATTTTTTTGTCACAAGGATTTGAAAAATAAAAAATACATTTTTGTTTTCTTTCATCATTTTCCAAAAACTTGTTGCTACAAATGAGATCTGCAAAATACTCACCATGCCACTCAGCAAATAGCTTTGGGTGTCTTTTTCCAAAAAGGGGCATTTGGGGGGTGTTTGAACTGTCCTGGCATTTCAGAGCCAACATTCCACCACACATTACCCACTCTTCTAATTACTTGCAGACCAAGCCTTTTCTGACACTTTTTAAGTACCGTATTTTTCGCTCCATAAGACGCACCTGACCATAAGACGCACCTAGGTTTTAGAGGTGAAAAACAAGAAAAAAAAAATATTCTGAACCAATGGACTGCAGACACAGTACAGGGGATGACCAGAGACTGCGGACACAGTACAGGAGATGACCAGAGACTGCGGACAAAGTACAGGGGGATGACCAAGAGACTGCGGACATAGTACAGGAGATGACCAGAGACTGCGGACACAGTACAGGAGATGACCAGAGACTGCAGAAACAGTACAGGAGATGACCAGAGACTGCGGACACAGTGCAGGAGACGACCAGAGACTGCGGACACAGTGCAGGGAATGACCAGAGACTGCGGACAGTGCAGGGGGATGACCAGAGACTGCAGACAGTGCAGGGAATGACCAGAGACTGCAGACAGTGAAGGGGATGACCAGAGACTGCTGACCTTTGGGGAGGGAGGGGGAGCGGGTACCTGAATTTGACAGGTACCCGCTCCCACTTTCGCGGAGTTGCCTTCCCTCTTCTTCCCGGGCCGGCTTCTGTGACAGCCGGGTGCCCACTGCGCAGGTGCGAGAAGCGCTTCGCTTTGTGAATGGCCCGGCGCCTTCTGGGAACTTTCATGTGTCCCAGAAGACACCGGATCATTCACAAAGCGCAGCACATGCGCAGTGGGCACCCGGCTGTCACAGAAGCCAGCGCGGGAAGACTGTGCAGCGCTGGAGCGAGGAACAGGTAAGGCCCTGCAGGAGACAACAGCTGACATGGTGGCCGCAAAAATACCAGACCGGCCGCTTTATATTCGCTCCATAAGACGCACTGACATTTTCCCCCCTTTTTGGGGGGGGAAAAAAGTGCGTCTTATGGTGCGAAAAATACGGTACATAAAAAAAAATTCAGTATTTTTTTTGTTAGAAAATTACTTTGAACCCCCAAACATTAAATATATTTTTAAATCAGAGGCTCTATAGAATAAAAGTTGTGGCTGTGGGATGCTGCTAGTGCTAGCCACCACCAGCTTGGACTGCACTTATAGGACTCGCCACATCACCAATACTTCAGTTTGGGTATATAAAATGCCCGGGTGTACTAGGCCACTTGTGCTTGCCAGTTCACCCAAAGTTAGTGCAGCACTAGTACTTGAGCCCGGTATATGACACAAGGCATGCGTTCCTTGAACTTTAGCTACATGTAGTCAGGTACACCTGACCTTAGTAGGGACCTCTTCATCATCCGAGCTACCCGTCAGGGTGTAGCTGCTCTCTACAGGTGTGTATTCTGGGGCATATTCTGTCAGTGACGACTCCCCTTTTCTCCCAATTGACATGCTCAGAATTCTGTAGGCCTCTTCACTAGAGTATCTTTCTTTGAACATTTTGGCCACTAAATTTATAGGTACCTAGTGCAACGCATGGGAAAGAGAGCTCTTGGCTGTCAGGGACTGTTTGAACCGCTACCAATAAAATTCACCTGCTAATCCTAGCAGAGATCAGGCCTGATTCTGCTAACACTGAGGTTTTGTGTGTAATGTATCACAGGTGACAATGATCCGAAATTACACTGACACTGCCCTTCTTGTTGGGGGGGGGGGGGGGTAGGGGGCTAAACACTAGTGCTGGCAGCGAACGGGACTGGATCATACTAACAGTGTATTTTTGGGGACACTATACTAAGAGAGCACTAGTATAGTTCTGTTCATGATCAACATATTGTTCTGTACAAACACTATACTACTGTATTAATGGCAGTGATTAGCGACCTATAGCCTGAGTGCAAGAGTGTGCGGGCAATTTAACGGTAACTGAGCCTGGCTAGAAGGGGATCTAACTGACCCTGATGCTATTTGATGTTGCTAGTGGCAGTAATACAGTGATCAGTGAAAACTTTTATATACTGACACTGTACTAATGGCACTGGTTGGGTGACAGGGGTGATCAAATGGTTAATAGGGGTGATCAAATGGTTAAATGTGCTAATCTAACGTGTGTGTAAATTGTACACTAACAGTGTAGTGTTCTTCCTTCTCTCCCTGGACCAAAAAGGGTTCAGAAAGAGAAGAACCAGCATCTCCATTCTCTGCAGATCAGCAGAGTCCCAGGCAAAAATAATTGGCCTGGGACCCACTGATAAACTGCTCCTGTAGCAAATGACAAGGAGGTCAGTGGGGGAATAAAGGCATGTGCATGCACATTCACACCCAGAAATAGATCACGACATACAGCTACATCGCTTTGCCCAGAGCTGCTGCTCACCCACAAATATTTAAATACATTTTTTTTCACATTTGTTTTCTATTTACATACCATCTCCAGCACAGTACAGTGTCATGATATGACTGATGTGGCAGTAATCAGGGACACTGACTGGTGACAGCATGTTATAAAAAAAACCTAAAAAATATTTTTTTTATTCAATATTTTTAATTTTTTTTTAACATTATTTTTGTTAATTTTTCTATTTTTTTTTTTGCTGGTGCAATAAAGTAAGTTGCACCAGCAATTATTTGAATGGGTTAAGTTCATGACAGTTCAGAATACTAGTGGTCTGTGGCTGGCTAATTAGGCGCCTTGTGATACCATACCATGTGATCCAATCATAGCTCACTAGTATTAGAAGCAAAGCTGTTATGAATAAAAAATGCTTTCACAACAGCTTTGTTGACATTGTGATCATGTGATCGCTGTGTCTAGTGGACACAGACTTCGGTAGGTGGGGACATGCTGCATGCCCCAGTGGGAGTGCAACACCCCCCTGGGTCAGTACAGCCAGAGTGACCTACCGGCAGGGGTGGACTGACAACTCATGGGGCCCCCGGGCAATAGGGAATCATGGGGCCCCTGTGTCCTTGTCCAAACTCAAAAAAGCCTATGAAAAAGGTACCAGGGGCATCTCATGGGGCCCCCTACTGACTCCAGGCCCTCAGGCAGTGCCCGAGTTTCCAAATGGTCAGTCCACCCCTGCGTACCAGTATGTTACTCTAAAACAAATGAAAGTGTTGCAATGCTAGCATAAATCAATACATGTAAATATACGAACAAAAACATGAATAATTGCCCAAAAGATAATAAAACATAAATATAAATGCAATTCTTCAAAAAAATCCAAATAAGTGAAACATCTTCCTGCTGGTGATTGCACCCAAAATCCCAGTGCTGTAAATCTTCAATACATGTGAATCACCACAGTAAACATAGATTTCAAGGTGGACTCTCACCTTCTCGTATGGAACTTTATGTGGACACAGGTCAAACAAAGCATCTCCCCTATCTATTAGTGGGGGTAACACATAACTTGCTCCTCTGTGCACTCTTCCCCTTATGAATCACCACTGGACCTTCACAAATGGCACCCGATTTCAGTACAGCTTACTCTGTGGATAAAACTTGACAAGCACAAAGTAGATCATAGTGCAGTAGGCTTTTTTAAAAGGCATATTAAAGCATATGAACTCACATGATAATAGTGTTAAAAATGCATGAAACAGCGGTCAGAATCAAACAATGGAGAGCAAGACCTTGCCTGTCGAAACGATGTAGGAGCGCTGACGTCACCTGACTTCTCCTCATGCGTATCATCACACACCACGTGACTTCACCAAAGGTATATCACTCTGCGTGTACATGCTGCCTGTGTGCAGTACAAGTACTTAGGGCAAGTTTAAGTGCATTCAAACCAAAACTATTTTTTATCTAAAGATTAGGAATTGACCGTATGCACACTTCTCTACACCCTTACATATTTTAAGCAACATTTTGCATTAAAACAGGGATTTTGCATACAAGGGTTGGATAAAATTATGGAAACACCAGGTAAAAGAACAAAATTGTTACCTAATATGGTGTTGGACAGTCTGAATTATCCTGAGAATTGATAAAAGTGTTGGACGGTGGATAATGGAATCTGATACCGCTTTTCATGCAAAAATTGTTCCAGATCTCCCAGAGATGCTGAAGGTGGAAAAATAAGCCCAAACCTTGTTCTCCAAAATTGATCATAGTGGCTCTATGATATTAAGTAGAGATGAGCGAATCGAACTTGGCGAAGTGGAATTCGTTTTGAATATTAGGAAAAATTCGATTTGCACCGAATCCGAATTTTAGCAAACTTCGGATGCACGAATCGAATTTTCCCCGATCAGCCGGCAAAAAGTGTCACTGCAGAGAGCTCCGCTATTTCTGACAGTTCTCTGACAGTTCCTTCACATGTACAGCGGTTGAAACATTGTATCTATTTGTTTCCATTTAGGATACAGATGTTTTTATTCGGAAACAGATACAATGTTTCAACCGCTGTAAATGTGAAGGAACTGTCAGAGAACTGTCAGAAATAGCGGAGCTCTCTGCAGATACACTTTTTGCTGTACTGGAATACTTCTTCTTTTCATTCTTCTTTTCATTCTTCTTTTCATTCTTCTTCTTTCTTCTTTTCATTCTTCTTTTCATTCTTCTTCTTTTCATTCTTCTTCTTCTTCTTTTTCATTCTTCTTCTTCTTCTTCTTTTCATTCTTCTTCTTCTTTTCATTCTTCTCATTCTTCTTTTCATTATTCTTCTTCTTCTTTTCATTCTCCTTTTTCTTCTTTTCATTCTTCTTTTCATTCTTCTTCTTCTTCTTTTCATTCTTCTTTTCATTCTTCTTCTTTTCATTCTTCTTCTTCTTCTTTTCATTCTTCTCATTCTTCTTTTCATTCTTCATCTTCTTCTTTTTTCTTCTTCTTTTCATTCTTTTCATTCTTCTTCTTCTTCTTCTTTTCATTCTTCTTCTTCATCTTTTCATTTCTTCTTCTTCTTCTTTTCATTCTTTTTCTTCATCTTTTCATTCTTCTTCTTCTTCTTCATTCTTCTTCTTTTCTTTTCATTCTTCTTTTTCATTCTTTTTCATTCTTCTTTTCATTCTTCTTTTCATTCTTCTTCTTCTTTTCATTCTTCTTCTTTTCATTCTTCTTCTTCTTTTCATTCTTCTTCTTCTTCTTCTTTTCATTCTTCTTTTCATTCTTCTTCTTCTTTTCATTCTTCTTTTCATTCTTCTTCTTCTTCTTTTCATTCTTCTTTTCATTCTTCTTCTTCTTCTTTTCTTTTCTTCTTCTTCTTCTTTTCATTCTTCTTTTCATTCTTCTTCTTCTTTTCATTCTTCTTCTTCTTCTTTTCACTCTTCTCTTCTTCTTCTTTTCATTCTTCTTTTCATTCTTCTTCTCTCATTCTTCTTTTCATTCTTCTTCTTCTTCTTTTTTCTTCTTTCTTCTTCTTCATTCTTTTCATTTCTTCTTCTTCTTCTTTTTCATTATTTTTCTTCTTCTTTTCATTCTTCTTTTCATTCTTCTTTCTTATTCTTCTTTTCATTTCTTCTTCTTCTTCTTCTTCATTCTTTCTTCTTTTCATCTTCTTCTTTTCTTCTTTTCATTCTTCTTTTCATTCTTCTTCTTCTTCTTCTTCTTCTTCTTCGTCGTGCCCCGTGACTGCCCAAATGAGTGAAGTGTGCGGTGTATCTAAGATCGACGGCACTCATCTGCATGTCATACTGACTGACAGTATTATTTCTTTTTCCCCAGCAGACTCCAAGGGCATTTAAATTAAAGGTACAGTGTTCTGCACTAATATAAAGGCTCTCTGAAGCCTAGAAACCCTTTTAAATAAGTTAAATTCGCAGCGAATAAATTCGCATCGAATCGAATTTCTCCCGCAAATTCGGCGAATCAGCCGAATCAAATTTTTGAATAATTCGCTCATCTCTAATATTAAGGTCCTGCAAATGGGGCATCCATAGAAGATGCGAGACTTCATCTGCCTGCTCATCAAAACATGATTTGACAACACCAGTTGTGTGAATTGGGGCATTATCATCTTGGTAAATGGTGCTGTCTTCAGGAAACAATGTCTGCACCATGGGATGCCCATGGATGACAAGAATTTATACTTAGTTTCTGGTAGTGACTCTAACTTTCAAGGTGATGATGGGGCCTGCAGAATACCAAGATATGACTGCCCAAACCATGATTGTGAAGCCACCATGCTTTACCATTGTCACGAGACAGTCCTGGTCATAAGCCTGGGACTGTGTTTGCCGCACGTCTGGTGGTTGGGAACAGTATGAAGCTAGATTCATGTTGATCAACAGTTCATGATTAGAGATGAGCGAATCGAACCAGGCGAAGTGGAATTCGTTTCGAATTTCAGGAAAAATTTGATTTCGTGCCGAATCCGAATATTAGCCAACTTCGGGTGCACGAATCGGATTTTTCCCGATCAGCCGGCAAAAGTGTCCCTGCAGAGAGCTCCGCTATTTCTGACAGTTCTCTGACAGTTCCTTCACATGTACAGCGGTTGAAACATTGTATCTATTTGTTTCCATTTAGGATACAGATGTTTTTATTCGGAAACAGATACAATGTTTCAACCGCTGTAAATGTGAAGGAACTGTCAGAGAACTGTCAGAAATAGCGGAGCTCTCTGCAGATACACTTTTTGCTGTACTGGAATACTTCTTCTTTTCATTCTTCTTTTCATTCTTTCTTCTTCTTTTCATTCTTCTTTTCATTCTTCTTCTTCTTTTCATTCATTCTTCTTCTTCTTTTCATTCTTCTTCTTCTTCTTCTTCTTCTTTTCATTCTTCTTTTTCTTCTTCTTCTTTTCATTCTTCTCATTCTTCTTTTCATTCTTCTTCTTCTTCTTTTTCATTCTCCTTTTTTTTTTTTCATTCTTCTTTTCTTTTTTCTTCTTCTTCATTCTTCTTTTCATTCTTCTTTTCATTCTTCTTCTTTTCATTCTTCTTCTTCTTCTTCTTTTTTTCATTCTCTTTTCATTCTTCTTTTTTCTTCTTCTTCTTCTTCTTCTTCTTTCTTCTTCTTCTTCTTCTTTCTTCTTCTTCTTTCTTCTTTTCTTCTTCTTCTTCTTTTCATTCTTCTTTTCATTCTTCTTCTTCTTCTTCTTCTTCTTTTCTTTCATTCTTCTTTTCATTCTTCTTCTTCTTCTTTTCTTCTTCTTTTCATTCTTCTTCTTTTTTCATTCTTCTTCTTTTCATTCTTCTTTCATTCTTCTTCTTCTTCTTTTCATTCTTCTTCTTCTTTTCTTTCTTCTTCTTCTTCTTCTTTCTTTTCTTTTCTTCTTCTTCTTCTTTTCATTCTTCTTTTTCTTCTTCTTCTGCTTTTCATTCTTCTTTTCATTCTTTTCATTCTTCTTTTCATTCTTCTTTTCTTCTTTTTTCTTCTTCTTTCTTCTTCTTCTTCTTTTTCATTCTTCTTTTCATTCTTCTTTTTCATTCTTCTTCTTCTTTTCATTCTTCTTTTCATTCTTCTTCTTCTTTTCATTCTTCTTCTTCTTCTTCTTTTCATTCTTTTCATTCTTCTTTTTCATTCTTCTTCTTCTCTTTTTCTTCTTCTTCTTCTTTCTTTTCTTTTCTTCTTTTTCTTTTTTTTTCTTTTTCTTCTTCTTCTTCTTCTTCTTCATTCTTCTTTTCTTCATTCTTCTTCTTTTCTTCTTCTTCTTCTTTTCATTCTTCTTTTCTTTCTTTTTCTTCTTCTTTTCATTCTTCTTTCTTCTTCTTCTTCTTTCTTTTCTTCTTCTTCTTTTCATTCTTTTTCTTCTTTTTCTTTTCATTCTTCTTTTCATTCTTTTCATTCTTCTTTTCATTCTTTCATTCTTCTTTTCATTCTTCTTCTTCTTCTTTTCATTCTTCTTCTTCTTTTCATTCTTCTTTTCATTCTTCTTTTCATTCTTCTTTTCATTCTTCTTCTTCTTTTCTTTTTTTCATTCTTCTCATTCTTTTTCATTCTTCTCATTCTTCTTCTCATTCTTCTTTTCATTCTTCTTCTCATTCTTCTTTTCATTCTTCTTCTTCTTTTCATTCTTTCTTCTTCTTCTTTTCATTTTCTTCTTCTTCTTTTCTTCTTCTTTTCTTTTCTTCTTCTTTTCATTCTTCTTCTTTTCATTTTTTTTTTTCTTTTCATTTCTTCTTCTTTTCATTCTTCTTCTTCTTCTTTTCATTCTTCTTTTCATTCTTCTTCTTCTTCTTTTCATTCTTCTTCTTCTTTTCATTCTTCATTCTTCTTTTCATTCTTCTTTTCATTTTCATTCTTTTTCATTCTTCTTTTCATTCTTCTTCTTCTTCTTCTTTTCTTCTTCTTCTTCTGGCAACTCCACCATGCAGCTCATTTTTGTTCCAGTATTACTGTATTTTGCTCCTTCAAAATCCTGAAATTTTCTTTTGGCAGGTGTACAGACTCAGGTACTCAGTGCAGGAATGGTGGGAATCCCTCACAATGGACACAGCAGGTGTACATACAGACCCAGGAATTCAACACAGGGACAGTGGGAACCCCTAATAATGGGTAAAGCAGGTGGGCAGACCCGGAATCTCAGCACATGGATGGTAGGAACCCCTCATAATGGGCACAGCAGGTGTGCATACCCAGAACCTCAGCACAGGGATGGTGGGAACCCCTAGTAATGGGCGCAGCAGGTGTGCAGACCTGGGACCTCAGCACAGGGATGGTAGAAACCCCTCATAATGGGAACAGCAGGTGTACAGACCCAGGAATTTAGTACAGGGATGGTGGGAACTCCTCCTAATGGGCAGAGCAGGTGTACAGACCCAGGAACTCAGCACAGGGATGGTGGGGGAACTTCTCATAATGGGCGCAGCAGGTGTGCAGACCTGGAACCTCAGCACAGGGATGGTGGAACCCCTCATAATGGGCACAGCAGGTGTTAGGGGGTTTAACTCTCCAGCATCCATTAGAGACTGATATAGTAATATAGTTCATTCTTCTTTCCATTCTTCTTCTTCTTCTTTTCATTCTTCTTCTTCTTTTCATTCTTCTTCTTATTCTTTTCATTCTTCTTTTCATTCTTCTCATTCTTCTTTTCATTCTTCTCATTCTTCTTTTCATTCTTCTTCTTCTTCTTTTCATTCTTCTTCTCCTTTTCATTCTTCTTCTTTTCATTCTTCTCATTCTTCTTTTCATTCTTCTTTTCATTCTTCTTCTTCTTCTTTTCATTCTTATTCTTCTTCTTTTCATTCTTCTTTTCATTCTTCTTCTGCTTCTTTTCATTCTTCTTCTTCTTCTTTTCATTCTTCTTCTTTTCATTCTTCTTCTTCTTCTTCTTCGTCGTGCCCCGTGACTGCCCAAATGAGTGAAGTGTGCGGTGATTCTAAGATCGACGGCACTCATCTGCATGTCATACTGACTGACAGTATTATTTCTCTTCCCCAGCAGACTCCAAGGGCATTTAAATGAAAGGTACAGTGTTCTGCACTAATATAAAGGCTCTCTGAAGCCTAGAAACCCTTTTAATTAGTTAAATTTGCAGCGAATAAATTTGCATCGAATCAAATTTTTCCCGCAAATTCGGCGAATCAGCCGAATCGAATTTTTGAATAATTCGCTCATCTCTATTCATGATTTATGGGTGTTGCACTACTCTCTCCTCTTCTGAGCATTTATATCGGTCTCTAGTGGTTTAGGCAATTGCAGATTGCCCATGAATGTTTTGCTTATGGAGCCCCTCCACAGTTTTTGTAGACACATGCTTTGGAAGACTGAGATTGAGTTTGCAGTCACTTTTGCAGCAGTTGTTTTCTTATTCCAGGCCACAATGTCGACTGCGCTTTTGCTTATCAGATTATGTTGTCCCAAAAATTGTATGTGCCATCATAACCTTTGATACTGTACCTCACGACACCGCAAATAAATTGCAAACTTCAGTTACAGATGCACTAGCTAAGCAGGCATCAACAATTTGCCCTCTTTGAAACTCATTAAACTCTGACATGATTCCATATTACTAGCAGCGAGTGCAGTAAATGCTGGAGGTGAGGCTTCCAACCTGTTAACTAGGCATCTCATCACACAGCAGAAGCAAAAGAATGTTACTTTTTTCTTTCAATGCAAAACATGTCGTCGCCTTCACAACTACAACTCACGTAATGTTTCCATTTTTTTGTCCAGCCCTGTATGTTGTAATACATTTTGAAGCTGGTCCACTGCATCAAAGTGATCCCTCTTTGATTAGTCCCTATTTCACTGTGGAAAATGCAATGTACCTATTTACTTAGGGCTGTTGAACACGGGATGGCTGAGTCCATTCAGCATATTTGAAGCTGTATTTCTTCAACCCAGGCAACCCAGGTGCAGTGTGCAGCCTGAATGGTTGTCCTCCTCTATGCTCATGTAAATACGATGATACTATTGTAAACAAGAGTACAGCATATGGGCACATGAGAAAAATGTATAATTTTTTGGCATTCTATGCCCGTATATTGTATATTGTACTCATGTTTATGATAGCAACTCTGTATACTGTAGTATGGTGGTGCACAGCCATTCATGCAGTGACAAGCTGTATACTGCACCTGAGCTGCTTGGGTTTTCCATTCTTCAAGACTAGGAGGGTTAGGTGACAACCATTTTTTCTGCTATCAACCTATGTAACACAAATAAGAGTGTAATAACTGCAGTGGGAACCATGGAGGTAAAGTCCTCTTCATCCAATTAACCTAATATACAGATATAGGGATCTAAAGGGTTTGTGGTAAGGAAGGAACTGTTAATAGTATCTAACACAGCCTTTCAATTTCTAAACAATTTTAAATACCACTACTATGTTTGTGGGCTGCCCTAAAGTAGTGATATAGGGGTTTATTTACTAAACCTGGTTCACTCAGAATCTTGTCCACTTCTGCATAAAAACCAATCAGCTTCCAGGTTTTATTGCTGACGCCTAACTGAACATGCTGAGGTTAGAAGCTGATTGGCTACCATGCACAGGTGCCCAAGATTCTGAGTCAACCAGGTTTAGTAAATAAACCCCATAGTGTCCATTTGATGCCACAGAAATATATTTTGAGGAGCGTGGTATATTTTTTGTAAAATGAGGGGCTGAAATAGTTTCTGTGTGGAACAGAAAGAAACTTTAGGGACTCTAAGGCCCTGATTCACTATTGGGCGTGGGCGCATATTTATGGGCTTAAGCCCAATTTTCATGGGCGTCCATCATTTTTTACCCTGCAACCTAATTCACTAGTGAGCAGAGCCCATAAGCAGACGCCCAATCTAATTCACAAAAAAAGACACACGCCCGGAATCAGACTCACAAAACAGACTTGCTAAGAAGCAAGTCTAAAACAATGAAAAATCACTGCAGAGACATGTTCACTTAGAAATTTGCTTTGCCAAATATCAGGACTTCAC